AAATTACAGTTGTTTTTGATTTTTAGATTTTTGTTTTAAAATTATATATCTTTTATTTATAAAAGTCATCAATATAAATCAGTCACTGACTTTTATTTTAAAATCATACTTATAAAAGTCATTTGTATAAGTCGTAGTAAATTTTGGTTCTCCAACACCTTTTTAACTGCGAAACTATATTGACTTTTATACGTATGATTTAAAATAAAAATAAAAATCAAAAATAACTGTTATCTGATTATTTATATAAATATAAAAAATAATTGTTATTTTGGGTTTGTAAAATAAAAATCAAAAATAATTGTTATGTTTTTTAAATTTCCCATAAAAATTACAAATAAAAATTTATTTTCAAATTCGATTCTCGGTGAAAAAAGAAACCGATTGGTATGTATCACTTAGTTGTAGAACATTTTCTTCATAGTGAATTTTTCAATGACAGTTTTCATCAATAACTGTTCGGTCCCTGGTCGCACCACCTTTAAAGCCAACAAGAGCTGGGCAATATGGCAAATGACACATACTCTCCGTTGCATTACACAGGGCAGATATATCCAAAACTTACGATGAGATTTTCGGTTAAGTCCATCAGCGTGATTTCCTCGAGACTGAGTTTTAACTCCGCGTGCTTGGCATGTGTATTGGCCACCCTACAAGCTGCGGTGATGTTTGTAGTACACATGCTTCCGAGTCCTGGGCGCATCAGAATGAGCAACCGGATTTGGAACTGCTTCCACCTAAGCGGTGGTCGTAGGAATTTTCTCTACCTTCTTGACAATCTGCTCATGATATTTGGGTGAGCAGCTGGTGTGCATGTTAGGTCCCTCCTCCGCAGAACCGTGGGCCCCAGCTCGTCTACCTTCCTCCGGCGCATTTTGTTAATCTCGCGTTGACTTTTGTGCGCCGTGGTCCTGGCTGTTTGCCTTCCAGATTGGTTCAGGTCCCTGGTCAATGGGTTAAGGGGCAGTGTGTTAGCCTGAATGAGGCGCTCCTCAGGCTTGCTGGATAAACGGAGCATCTTCCTCTGTGTCCGTGATGTTTTAGTTGGCCGTTGTGTAGTCTCTTCTCTTTATCCGGCCGGGCTTGTGGCCGACAATGGTCATAACAAAGGTTAAAAATAAGGGTTAATAATATACACGAAAGGTCAGCTTGGAATTGATATACAGTCGCTGGATAGAGTGAGCGCTAACTGTCTGTTTAGTGCTTTCCAGATTTCCCGATAAGACCGGCTGTAGGTGCAACGCGCCTGTCTAAAGTCAATCTTAATTTCCAGCTGAGGTTAGCTTGAGCAGAGCGCTATCGGAGATGTTTCAAGACTTCAATCTAACTACTGCCAGGATTGAGAACCCATGAGTAGGAGCTTTCTTTTTCATAATCCACTTTATGAGTAGTTTATGGCAGATCAATTCCAAAATTTCAAAGAAGTCCTTCTACAAGCCCCAGATTCTTTTGGCTTAAACGTTTAATTTTTCCGTCCTATACTTAATACATCATCCCACTGTGGCGTGACCCTTTACATTTTCTACATACTTCCCTTTTCCCACTGTTGTTTTTAGCTTTTGTTTTCATGCGTTATTTATGTCTTTTATTTATTGTTCACTGCCTTTGTTGTTATGGTTATATGTCCACTGGCTCGGTTGGTTGGTTATTGTTGTTGCTGTTTATTATTAAAAAGTTATTACAACATGTTGTTATTGATGTTGCTAGTTGCTTGTTTGTTGTTATAGACTTTTTCATTGTTGTTGGCGTCTTTGTGCTGTTAACTCGAAAGGCAACAGGTACCTTACTCATACAATAAAGTGAGGCCAAAATGAGCCGTAAGACTGTGAGAAAAGCAAAAATTAGCAAACTACGACGGGTAACAGCTTACAGACATACACAGATATTTGTGCAGGAATGAAAAGCAATTGCCAAGTGAAATGAAATGGGGCGCGCATGCGTTATGAGTTCAAGCGGTCGCCTGATGATGATGATGAGGTGGTCGGCATGTTTGTATGTAAATATGTACATATGCATGTGTGTAGGTGCTTACATGCTGGATACGAATTTATGCTTTTGAATACAACTTTGTTTTTAGTTATGCAGCATATGTAAGTATGTATGCTTATTTTGAACGGCACGGTGTATGTTTACTCGGCGCATCTTCGGCTTGGTTTATTGCCACTAAGACGTTTTTTTAATGACAGGTAGTTGAATGAATACAGCGCAGTGCTTTAATGCGGCTACATACAAACATACAGATGTAACTACATACTTTAATCTCAGTTGCAGTAATTTGATTTAGTTCTTTTTTTTGTATTTTCAATTTATTTTTATGTTTTTAATCATTTTTTTACCTTAAACTTTAAATAAAACAAACTTTCAAATTTGTACTTGACAGTTGAAATTGACGAATTGCTTGCGTGTTTAAGTACATACAGCATTCGCGTGCGTAGATATTTGTACGTTGTTTCCACTCCCATTTTTTGGGTATTATCTTCACTTGTTCACACTTATTTGTTTTCTTATTTTTTTTTACCGCCAATCGCTTTTATTTGATGTTGGCTTTAGGTTTTCTTTAGAAATTTCGCAAAGTAGTTAACCCAAATACGCGCCACGTATGTATATATGTAGCAACGACGGCGGCGGAGATTTTCTATCAGTCGCCGCCTCGACGTGCCTCGATGGAAATTTGATGATTTCTGATGATCCTAATGGGAACTGTGCGCACACAAAAGCAATTTTATATAAAGTACTTTTTTATTGTCTAAATATGCACATATATACATATGTACATTAGGCCGTGCCAACTTACAAACAAACATAAAAAAATGTATACTATACATGTCTCTTAAGTATTTTTGCGAGGGAATTTTGAAAAAAATTACCCTTTTTTGGGTCATCTTTTTATACTTTTCGCGTGCATATACATAGAGCATTATATCTTTTTTAGTTGGAAAAATCATAAACGAGTTTTAATTTACCGGCATTAGGGTGGTAGAAACTGGGATCTGCTGGTTTGGTGCAAAAAAAATACCTCCTCGATACAAGAACATCGTTATATAATAGTTAAGATCCGACTCCTACTTTTGGCCAAAAAACAACAAAATTTTCAAAATGGCCTTCCAAAAATATTTCCGAAACATGGGCGAACTTTTTTTGGCTTGGTCTAATGTACATATGTACATACATATATATTTATGACACGATCGCATACGTACATACATTGGCATGCTTTCGGTGATTTTCACTTAATTTCGCTACTCATTTTCAAATTTTGCATTATTTTGCGTAATTGCCAAGAGCGAGTATTGCATTTCATAGTTGTTGCCGAGGATTTTACTTCACTGCTGTCGCCTTTAAAATACTCATGGGATTTTTTTTTGGACATCTGCGCATGCGCGCATATTCCTATGCGCTCAAAGTTCACCGTGCCGCAAAATACCTATTTACATACATACTAAATAAGAAACATACATACATAAATATATGTACTCAGGAAAGTCAAGCTTATTACTAGCTGGCGACTTGCAACGGCAACTGCTTGCCACACTGAAATGTAATCTTAACGACATTTGCCATGTTACGTCAGTGTTTATTGTTCGGCGGTCGGCGCTCGCCGGCGCACCTTCCCCTTGCTGCCCCCCTGGACAAAACTTGTGAGCTGTGCACAACTTCCTATCCTAGAAGCTAGCAGCTGTGCGCCTTAAAACCTTTTGATAGATAGATACTTACTACTTGTACTACTTACCCGACTGGTGGCATGTTGCATGGCCGCTTTTTATGAGACACACTCGTTGCATGTTAGTTTTTAATATTTGTTGCTGTTGCAATCTTATGTGTGCATTGCTTGCTGGCGTACATTTGAGTTTTGTGTGTGTTTTTTGTTTGCTTACAACGCGTGTCTATTTCACTTTGTGTGCAATAAGGGCCGCTCACGCTTTGCGGTTTTGCGTTCCTTCTTTGTTGCTTTTATGCTTTTATTTAATTTTTAATGTTTGCTTAGATCGCAGCTTACGCTGTGCCGCCGTGTCAGCTTGTGGCAATTGTGCCACAAAAATTGCAAAATTAATCGACGGCGCCGCAGCCACTGATTCATTTTGACACTGTCGACCGCTGCCATATTTATGAGTTGCCAAATGAAAATCTCCTCAATTGTTGGGATTTTTTTTTTATACATGCAACGTCAGTGTCGGGTTGAGTTAGTGCTGTTGTCAGTAGAGGCGAGTATGTGCCACAAATCAGTGAGGAAAATGAATTGGATTAGGTTTAGAGGCGCGAGACAATGCGCTTGGTCGATTCGGCTCGGTAGCTTTGGTTTACCTTTTGGCTGCTTGTTTGTGGCTTTGCAATGCTAGCTTGCCATGCAATAGCATTACTTCTGTCTTTCTCACATGAGACAATCAGTACGGATTAAGCAGCAAATATGTGTATGATTGGACAAATTATGTTCAAAAAATTTCAAAATTCTAACAAAAGTCAAATATAAAACCAACAACCTTACCAACAAGCTGCCTCATGCCACTCAGCTCTATCTATGACTTGCTTATTTTTACCTCCCCCACTTACCGATTTGATTCTCATTTGAACTTATTTTAAAAGTTGCTAAGTCCCATTTTAAAAATTTTACAGGAGAGGAAAAAATCTTCTTATAGCCATTTTCTTTAACTATTTCGCAAGACTTTGAATCAAACATTTTGCGCGTTTAAAGCAAAGCAAAACTCCATAAGAATCAGAAGGATTCGATATTTATTAAAAGACGTCGTATTATTTTGGCCTTATCGGATTGGTGGTGCTTCTTTTGGACTTAGCAAATTTTCCTTTTATTGCTTATGAAGAGGAAAAAATAAAACAAGTACCTTTATAATTTTCGAAACGATCCGTATTCAATTTCTTTAGCCTCCTATATCAAAATATGAGTTTTCATAAAAAGTGGACTTAGCAACTTTTCACTCTAAGCTAGCGATATGTAGTATTCAATGAATTTACTAAATTCCTTTATTTTACTTTTATATTTTCAGGTTCTTCATGCTTATCTCTTGGCTGTAAAAATGGTGGCACATGTATCACAAAAAGCAATGGACTCTCATTTTGCAAGTAAGTGTCATTTATAAGATTTTTCTTTGTAAAATAATTATGTTGCTGTTTTTTCGAAAAATTCACAAACTCCAAGCAATGCGCATTTAATTACAATTATAAACATTAAAGCATCGATTTTAATGGATTAACATAAAGTTTTACTATTTTTATGTTTGCGCATGCGCAACATATTTGGCATTTTAATTAGGCTGATGAGTGCGAGGGTGGTGGCGTTAATGGCGAAAAAACGCGCAAAGCGTGAGAGGTTATTTTGATTTGCGTTGACAGGTTAATAAAGCGCTTGAAAGGAATTATAAAGAAACGTGCATACATATGAACTTTGGGAAAAAAA